CCCCCCCCGCCCTCCGCGCGCCTCCCCGGCCCCCCTTCCCTTCCCTTCCTCTCCCGATCGAATGCGTTTCTTCCCCCTTTTCGCTCGCCGCCTGCGGCCTGGCGACGGACGGGCATCGGGTGAGGGGCGGCGGCTCGTGCCTTTCGTGGTCATGACCGTGGCCGAAGTGAAGGGCACATCGCTGTCCTTCCCCTCGAAGATAACGCCGGGCCCGTTAACCCCCGCGGCTCCGAGCCCGGGCGGGGCTGGCCGGCCGGCCGGGGCCCCCGACCCGGGCCCCGGGAGTCGGTGTGTACAGCCGGGGAGAGAAGGAAGGCTCCGTCCTTCCGGACGATGACCCCGAGGCCCCCGCCGTTCTTCGAGCAGCCTTCCGGGCATGCGGCCCTAAAGGGAATTTGGATTCTTTTTGTTTGTTTGTTTATAAATCACAGCCGAATTTCCCGAAGAAGGTCTCCGGTGGGGTTTCTTATGCATGAAGCCATTGCCGCGGCAGTTTATGGAAGTGGTTAATCACCTGGGGCTGGGGCTGGGGCTGGGGCTGGGGGTGGGCCCAGCTAACTCGTTGGGTTTCTAAACTCCAAATGTAGGATGAATTCAGGAACACTCGATTAAAAATATTAAGGCCAGTGACATTTGGTTGTTGAGGCATTGTTTAGGCATTCACAGGATGCTTGGATTCATCTTGGGGAATCTTTGTTGTTTTTGGTCTGGTAATGCATTGGCTTTAAACAAAAATCCCATAAAAAATGTAACCTCTTTGTACATCTGCTTAATATAAGAAACAACAACCCAAAAACCCAACCACCTTTTCATCTCTTATGCCCAATTCGTCCATCTTTACCAAAGACCTGGTTTTAGAATGTGTTCTCTGGTCAGCCGAATACATATTTTGATATTTCTGAAATGGTGCTTTGAAGCATAAAAGGTCTGATTCATCATTGTTCGTGGTGGCCTTCAATATTATTTGCAATATGGGGAATTCTACCGAAGTGGATTTTTCATTTCATGTGATTGCCTGACCTGGAAAAGTGGCCAGTATAAATCTTACAGTAAACAACTTGCTGTTTAGTGTTTTATTTCTCAAGTACCAGCAAGATTCTTTTTCTGTGGTTTCAAATTTATAAGCCTGTAGCCACAACTTTCTCATGGTCTGTTAATTACTCTGTTTGCTATTGACCTTTATCATGAAAGTTGTCAAAACAGAATGAGTAAGTGTAGAATTTTAGCATAGCTTTTACTGGAGCATTTTTTCTTTTTTAATTTATAGTTTTATCCTAGTGGTTTTGTGTGCATTATAATTTGAAAGTGATTAGTATTGAATTTAGTTGCTATGGGGAGGGAAACTCATCTCTCACTCTTAATTGCTTAGTACTTAGGAATTGAAGGGAAAACAGTATGGATGACTGTTAAGTAAGTTTTTATCTTTAGGGAAAGGTTATTTGCTTATTATAATTTTTAATTTACTTGACATCAAGGTAGTTTGGACCCAGATCAGATCAGTTCACCATCACTTAATCTGTGGAATCATGGTACAGGCTTGAAATTTTCATGTTTTAACATACCTACTGTCCAGGTGAACACACACACACACACACACACACACACACACACACACACACACACACACACACACACACACACACACACACACACACACACACACACCCTACGAAGGAATTTCCTTTTTACCACAGGTAAATATATTATCATAAGGCTGAAGTCTGGTAAAAGATTCCAGAATAAAGGGTTGTTTTTAAAAGTTAGAAAGCTGGGTGCTGGTGGCTCACGCCTGTAATCCTAGCTACTGAGATTTGGCAATTGCAGTTCCAAGCCAGCTTGGGCAAGAAAGTCCGTTAGGCTTTTATCTCCAGTAAGGAACTCAGAAAAAGCTAGCAGTGGTGATGTGGCTCAAGTGGTACAGTACTAGCCTTGAGCACAAAGAGGCTCAGGGACAGTGCTCAGGTGCTGTGTTTTGAGTCCCAGGACCAGTTTCCCCCCTGTCCCCCCCCCCCAAAAAAAGATAGTGTAGGTTCTGTTTGTGTTTGAGAAATGTTTGATTACAAGTGACAGTTGGCTATCAGTGCCTTTGCTCTAGTGGTTTGCCGAGTGACACTAGGACACACCCATGGGAGAGGAGCTCCACACGGGAACCTCTGTGTGCTCAGTCCTTCCTTGCTCTCACGTAGAGTTGACTTAGGTGCACTTTCTCTGTCCTGTTTACTATTTACACACTTCCCATGTCACTTTTTTTTTTTTCCAAGAGAGAACTGAATGAAATTCCCAGAGGGCCTCACTCCACAGCAGCCTGCCCCTGCAGGAGTGGCTCCTTTCTTCCTCCACTGGAGCTGAGGATAGTCCTCTCTTGTTTGTGCTTACAGAGCTCAGATCCTACAGCAGGAGCTAGATGAAATATGTATTTGGAAGAGTGAAAATTACACACATTTTATACCCTAGTCCTCAGGTCCCTGCTTTTCAACACCGTGTTTCAGGGCCCAGTGCTGGTGGCGGCTCTTGCTCAGGAGACTGAGATCTAAGGACTGTGATTTGAAGGGAGCTCAGGTAGCAAAGCCCATGCCACTTTTTATCTCCCGTTACCCATCAAAAAGCTGCTAGTGGAGGCTGGGCTCAAGACGTAAACTGAATGGATAAAGCTAGTGGGCAGCACCCAGGCCCTGAGTTCAAGCCCCAGTACTGGCACAAACAAAACAAGAACAGATAAGAATGAAAGTTAGTGGGGAGGGGAGGAAATACCTATGAATTTGTTGTCTAGTGAATTTAATAAGTCAAAAATCCAATTTATGTTTGTGCTTCCTAGTTTCTCTAAGCCTTTAATGCACTTTTTCTGCAGAGAACCATGGCGTCCGGCAATACTGCGGCCAGTGAGGAGGAGCGCAGTCTCCGAGAGTGTGAGCTTTATGTCCAGAAGCACAACATTCAGGCTCTGCTCAAAGATTCGATTGTGCAGTTGTGTACTGCGCGTCCAGAGAGACCCATGGCGTTCCTTAGGGAATACTTCGAGAGGTTGGAGAAGGTAAAGATAATTTGGGGAGAGGATGGGACAGTTACTCATTTTAATGCCCTAGAGTGTTGCCAACTAAGTCTTTTAGGAGAAAAGGAATTCTGCCCCAAATAAGTGTAAAACAAATTTAAATTAGAAATGCAATGAAGGCACTTGTAGCCATTTAAGAATTGTGTATAGAGGGGCTGGGAAGGTGGCTCAGTGGTAGAGTGCTTGCCTTGCATGCCTGAGGCCCTGGGTTCGAGTCCTCAGCACCACATAAGCAAAAAGCCGGAAGTGGCGCTGTGGCTCTGCTGGTAGAGTGCTAGCCTTGAGCTGAAGAGCTGAGGGACAGCACCCAGGCCCAGAGTTCAGGCCCCACAACCAGATCCCCCCCCCCAAAAAAAAAGAATTGTTTATAGAATTGATCAGAAAATGAGTCTTTTTGTGAGATTTCACTAATAAAGGATTTCCAAACATGATTCCTTGCAAAAGTTTCAATTAGTGTCTAACAGTGACTTCTTAGGACAGATGAATCCATCAAAAGTAGTACGTCAGTTGTAGGAAATGACAAATTCTGCTGAGTGCTGGTACCTCAAGCCTGCAATCTTTGCTATTCAGGAGGCCGAGACCTGAGAATTGTGGTTCAGAGCTAGCTCAGGCAGGAAAGTCCATGAGACTCTGATTTCCAGTTAATCACCAAAAAGCTGCAAATGGAGCTGTGGTAGCTTAAGTGGTAGAGCACTAGTCTTGAGCAAAAAAAAGCTCAGGAACAGTACCTTGTGTCCTGCCCTGAGTTCAAGCCCTAGGATAGGAAAAAAAAAAAATAAAAAGAATTCTGTAGTACTTGAAAGCAACTCTTGATTTTCTTCAGGTAAGTGTAGGAAACTTACCCACCTTTAAAAACCAGTGTAATAAGACATTTGATTCTGGCTTGTAATTGACATTTCACAAATTCTGAATTAAGGAAATATGTTTTACTGTGGGAATATAGAAAAGTTGATTACATACAGAGATACAGGTGGTGGCTAAGATTTTATATCATTCTTTTGGTTAGGACTTGTTTACCCTGGGAAAAAATTTAATCTAATTTTTAACCTTTGCTGTTCCCCTGTGTTAAGTGTGACCTATGTGCATAGTACATACTTTTCAAAGCAAAAACAAAAAATTAGGACAATGTTTCCGTGCATTTAAAGAGATAATGAAAGAAAGTCTTGGGTCACCAGATGTTTCAAGTGGTTTATTTGATTGATTCTATAAAGCAGTGGGATATATTCACAGTTTGCTTGTGCATGTTGGAGTTTTGAAGTAATTTGTAATGATCATGAGCCAACTGGAACATACTTCTTTGAGATTTGATAATCTAATTTTGTATGATACAAACATTTACATTATTTCACATAGGCCATAGCCAGATGGTTTTAATAAAAGCATCTGTACACTAAGATTTAAAGCCATGTTTGGGAAGTTCAGTGGGCATGTATTTTTTATTTCCTTGAAAACCTTTAGGATTGATATTTAGTACCACAGTTATAATAATTGAAAACAAACCAAGAACTGCTAAGCAGTCCCTATCAAAATAGCCTGCTGTCTTGGAATTGTAATCGAAGTTCTGCCTTTCTCATTTAAGCAATTTCTAAATAATGGAAGCGCTGGCCATGAGTGTTGGCAGTTTTGAAATCAAGTGCGTTCCTGGAGGTCTTGTTTTGAAATGGGTCACTGTAAGGTGATCTTACTTCTTTGGACATCAATAGAAATCATCAAATGAGGGGATTAAGTTGGTGAGACATGAAGTGTGTGTCTTTTTATAGGAGTGTTGAATGTGTGCTACTAGTTCCAAAGCCTGCATTTACCACAGCACTATTAAGTACTAACCAAGGTAGAAAGAAATAAGTGATTATTAGGATATTCCTTTGCACTGTGCTTAAGTGTGTTTTGTTTTGCCCCCTCTCAAGGAAAGCTATTGCTTAACATACTTATTCTGATAACTTACACATCTTTTTTAGTCAAGAATGAGCAATACACACCTAGACTTGGAAGTAATTAAGTTTTCAGCTTTGTACTAGGCTGTCCTTTGTATGTTAAGTGCTAATCTGTGTGCTTGAAATCACACCGTCATGTTTCATCAGCTCCTCCTTTCCTATTTCCCCTTTACCCAGGTTATATTTCTGTAACCTTCAGCTATTCCGTAAGAAATTTACCCCCAAATCTCTTATATTTGGTCCACTGAAAAACTTCTATATTTTAATTCAGACCACTGAGAGGAATTGAGTCCTCTTTTATGCATCTGTTTATGAGAACCTTGCCTGCCTGGTGGATTAGGGGAATTACAGCCAAGTGTCTTGGGCCAGGTACTGTGTGAACTTCGCATGTGTACATACTCAGTTTTAGATGTGCCAGAGAGATAAATATCAACATTTTCCAGAGGCAGGAAGGAGGATTAAAGCTTGGCTGTGGTCATATAACATAGTAGTCAGCTGTTACTACAGCGACATGTAACCACCAATTTCAGGGGCTTATACCATCAGCTCCTCAGGGCCCAGCCCATCTTGTTTTCATGTGTCTTGTTCTGGGGCTAAGTGGAAGGAATAGCCAACACACACACACACACACAACACACACACACGAAGAGGGAAAGGGGAGAGGGCGGGAAGGAGGGAGAGAGAGAGAATGGTGTTTTCAAGGCAGAGAAAGGACAGCAGTCTAAGATGGGTGGGCAGGCAGGCAAAGCCAGACCACACTAGAGCATAATTGTGAGGCCAGACCTCAAGCTGGGGTGAAAGCTTTACTTCAGCTGCAGAGAAGAATGTCAAGGGCAGGGAGGGAACAAATAATTGTGACAATGTTAAGGAATTGGCAGGAGAGTGTCCTCATAAAGCACAAGTCAGTGCAGAACAAAATGCACAAGAGTCAGGAACATCATTAGCCAGTGAATAATCTGGGAAATGTTTTTTTGTTTTTGTTTTGTTTTTTTTTTTTTTGGTCGGGTTGTGGGGCCTGAACTCTGGGCCTTGGTGCTGTCCCTCAGCTCTTCAGCTCAAGGCTAGCGCTCTACCACTTGAGCCACAGCACCACTTCCGGCTTTTTTCTTTTTGCTTATGTGGTGCTGAGGAATCGAACCCAGGGCCTCAAGCATGCAAGGCAAGCGCTCTACCACTGAGCCACCTTCCCAGCCCCTCTGGGAAATGTTTTTAAGAAGCAAAACAGCCAGGTGCCCGTGGCTCACGCCTGTAACCCTAGCTACTCAGGAGGCTGAGATCTGAGGATCACGGTTCAAAGCCAGCCAGGGCAGGAAAGTCCGTGAGACTCTTATCTCCAATAAACCACTAGAAAACTGGAAGTGGCGCTGTGACTCAAGCGGTAGAGCGCTCGCCTTGAGCTGAAGAGTGTAGGGACAGCGTCCAAGCCCAGAGTTCAAGCCCCACGACCGACCAAAAAAAAACAAAAAACAAAAACACACAAAAAACAAAAGAAGCAAAACAGCTTAAGAGAGAGACTGAGTGAGGACGGCTAAGAGTGAGAGCATAAAGTGTGTGAAAAGACAGAGTAGAAATGACCTCGGCCCTGGCTGAGTTGTCCACACGAGGTTGTGTTCAGATTGCTGTTTTATGGCTCACTGTGATACTTCAAATCAGAACGCTTCTGTTGCTTCACAATTATCTTTACAGTTCAGTAAGCTAGAATGAATATGGTCCCTAGTGAGAGATGCCGTTTGTGCATTTTTTAAATGAAATTTGTGTGAAATGCTAATGAGTATAGAATTTATGTTTTTCTCTATACTCGTAGGTTTTAAACTTGGTGGAAACTTGAGTTTTGAAGTTCTGTGTTAATATGGAATAGGAATATGGGATAGGAAAACCTGGCTAGTTGTTGGAACTACCAGAATGAAAATGTTGTTGATTTGTTTGGGGGAAAAAAAGTATATTTTCAATAGGTTATATACATGGTTGAAAACTGCAAAAGAGCTTCTTATTCTAATATGTGTATAGATACATGTTATCATCACGTTGGCCATTTCCAGTATTTTATTCTCTTATCTTAAAAATGAGGTATTGTTATATAGATCCCAGGCTGGTCTCAAACTCAGGATTCTCTTGCCTCAGCTTCTTAATAGTTTGGGTGTGTTTATCATTTCACATATGGAATATCTTAGAATGAATTTCTAGAAGCAAATTACTAATGTTGCTGAGGCAAGAAACAAATAGATTTATAATTATGTTATGATGTTAATGCTGTTTTTATTTCATTTATTTGCTTTGCTCATTGTGGTTTTTACTCTTTCCCTTTTTCAGTTTGCAGTGCTGAGGTTTGAACTCAGGGCCTTGTACTGCTTGAGCTATGTCTCCCTCTCATTGTCTTTTTCCTTAATTAAAATTCTAGAGAAATAAAGAAGAATAATGATAAAAATTGAGCATGATTCTTCTAATAAAAACAAAAGCACTTTGATAATAATTGCTCTAGACTTTTCTTGTTGCATATGTAAAATTCCTTTTTAAGTGAAAGCTTGTTATTTATTTTATAAAGGGGGTTTCATTGTGATATGTTTGCACAATCATAAAATATAGAATTGTTGAACTTACCTTGATGCCAAAGGCAGAGCTAAGAACCATACAGGAAAAAAAGAAAACTCTGGGTATATCCTTAGATAGTTTAAAATCAAATGTTTGTTTAAATAACTCTGAAATGCTAAATCCATGTAGAATTTGAAAGATGGTTTAGAAAAATTGAAGACTGAGTTATTGAGAAAGTAGAAAATAACACATTTTTACAACTTTTCTTGGGGATATTAGTGTTTTCTTTTTTCTTTCCTGAGCCCTTGACTTTATATTCAAGGCCTTACATTTGCTAGGCTGGTGTTCTACCACTTGAGCCATGACTCCAACCTAGCCTTTTGCCAGTTACTTTGGAGTTAGTCTAGAAAACTTTTCTGCTCAGGTTGGCTTTGAATTTTGATCTTTCAGATCTCATCCTCCTGAATACGAGGATTATGGATGCTAGCCTGACAACTCATTGCTTCCTGAGAGGATTTTTTTCCAAGGGGTGGGTGGGGGGTGGTTTAAGAGTCTAGATTCAGGCAGGAGAATGTTTAGATGAGCTCAGTTTTTGTATGAGTTGGTTCAGTAAGTAGTAGTTTTAAAAACAGGTAGAGTTTTATTTTGACTTCCAAGTATAACCCCGACTATAAGAAAGTGTCATGAGCTGTGCTGGAGGAATATTGCTTACAGTGGGTGTCACTGAATTTTTGGTGACCATCACACATTTCATAGTTTTATCTGGGGCTCAGGCTCGTGTGCATGTTTGCAAGCTCAGGACTCTTCTGTGTGTTTTGTATGCCTAGTATAGGGCGTGGCTACAGGGCAGCCCCAGAAAATGCTTATGCAGTTAATGAAACGCACAGTATCTAGACATTCTTGCCTCACTTTTCTGTGCCTAAATTGTTTGTTCTTAAGAAAATATTCTAGGGGTACAGGGATTTCTCTTTGGCTAACTCTGCAGTAGCAAACACAAAATTTTTACTCTTTTGTGTATCACAAATCATTGCTGTCAGTTCATTCTTAGAATAGAAACTGTGTGTGTGTGTGTGTGTGTGTAAGGTTTGAACTCAGGGACCCATGCTTGCTAGGGCAGGTGCGCTACCACTTGAGCCACATCTTCAGCACACTATTGCTACTCTTTCTTTTTTTTTTTTTTGGTCAGTCATGGGGCCTGAGCTCTGGGCCTGGGTGCTGCTCCTCAGCTCTTCAGCTCAAGGCTAGCACTCTACCACTTGAGCCACAGTGCCACTTCCGGCCTTTTCTGCTTATGTGGTGCTGAGGAATTGAACACAGGGCCTCATGTATGCAAGGCAAGCGCTCTACCACTGAGCCACCTTCCCAGCCCCTTGTTACTCATTCTTGAGGTAGGGTCTCTAGTTTTTGGATTTTTTGCCCCTGGGGCCAGCTTTGGAATGGGGTCCTTCCACTTACAGCTTTCTGTTTATCTGGGATCCCAGGCACACTTGGCTTACACTTGAGATGGTGGGGGTACTGGTCCTCATTTTTTTTCTGGGCTGTCCTTGAACCATTCCAGTCCTCCTGCTTTCCACCTCCCAAGTAATTGGGATCACAAATGTGAGCTGCCACATCTGGCCTGGACATCTAAGGAGTGCACTTTGTGTGTGTGTGTGTGTGTGCGCGCGCGCGTGCGCGTGCGCGCGTGCATGTGCATTGGTCCTGAGGCTTGACGTCAGGGTCTGGGCATTGTGCCTGAGCTTTTTGTTCAAGGCTGGTGGCTTTACCACTTGAGCCACAGTTCACGTTCATGGACATTTACATTTTTTTTCACATTTTATGTGTCCTTGTAGTACTAGCTTGGTTGAGTAATAAAATAACCTTTTCTTATCTTGAGAACATTCTTTCCGTACTTTATTTCTTCAGTTTTTCCTCATTAGGAATTTCTTTTTTGTCCTTAACTTACTCTGGTACTAGCAGAGATTTTGATATGATTTGAGATTACTCTCATTGGAATATGCCAGTACCAACTTCACATGCTGGGCATCTCAATTTACAAACGTATCATTTCTTTCAGGAGGAAGCAAAACAGATTCAGAGTCTGCAGAAAGCAGGCACTCGCGCGGACTCCAGGGAGGATGAGATCTCTCCTCCTCCCCCCAACCCAGTGGTTAAGGGTCGGCGGCGACGTGGTGCTATCAGCGCTGAGGTCTACACGGAGGAGGATGCTGCCTCCTATGTTAGAAAGGTACCATGCTGTCTGATGGGGGAGACAGTTACTGACACCCTTCTGCAGGTCATCTGGTGTTCTTCAGTGAGACCATAAGTATTTTGCATAAAGGCTGCAGTACAGTCTTTGGGCACTGGGGGTGCCCAAAAGGTACCCCTGTACCTGATTACCTGCAGGGCAGGTTGGTCAGTGGCACACATTTGTATTTCAGTGGAAGAAGCAGGCAGTACACATTGTTCTCTCTAGTCTCAGTGTCAGTGTTTTGATATTCTGTACTTCAGATTTTGACTTTGAATCTTGTATCCTGAAGGCTTCCTTTAACCTAATCTGCCCTTGCCCAGTCTGGAGCAGCCAGATTCTGTCCTAAAGAGAGAAGAGAATCCTGGGCACCCACCCAGCCTTATGAAACAGCACTTTATGGTCACAGTTGTTAAAAGATGACTTAAAAAATGCTTTTGTCTCAGAATAATGAATGATCTTGATCAAGTGATTTTTGGTTGTTTGGTTAACTAGGAACCAAGAACTGGTTTTGTGTACAGGACTGGCTTCAGTAAAGGGGATTAATTAGTCATTATTTGTTTTTTACTTTGTGAATCAAAGGTAGTACAAATGTGTTGTAGAGAAATTTAATACAGAATAGTCATGTGTAAATACCATTTTATGGCTTGACATTTCATTGAAATGCGGGGTACAGACATGAGATATCTTTGGTTTATAATTTTCATTTGACTTGGAATTCTTTTTTAGGTAATACCGAAGGATTATAAGACAATGGCTGCCTTAGCCAAAGCCATTGAAAAGAATGTGCTGTTTTCACATCTTGATGATAACGAGAGAAGGTAGGCTGAAGTTCTTCTTTATTATATACTCTTTCCAGCCAAGCTGTGACCCTTAGGCCCCTGTCATCCTTGCAGGGCTTTTGATTGTTTGCTAAGTGGCAATCAGGACTGAAAGTCTGCAGGTTTCAATTCTGAAGTTAATGCTTGAAATCCTCAGAAGAGGCTCATGAAATCTAACACTAGGTCTTCTTGCTCTCTCTGTCTCTCTCAGTGATATTTTTGATGCCATGTTTCCGGTTTCGTTTATTGCTGGAGAGACAGTTATTCAGCAAGGTAAGGGTTTTCCTTTGTGTAATGGGACTGCAGGGAGAATGGAGGGCTTTATTTATTAGAGCTTGTTTTTCTTTGATCCTACTTTTTCCTCTGTTACACTGTTGGCTTTTTCTTTTTTAATTAAATGTTGTGTAAACATTCTATCTATGGGCTTGATATTTCTAACACAATTTTGTTTATAAAAATTGTTAAAATACCCATGTGTTTAAATGCATGCAATATCTGAACAACATATCTCGTGTGTCCTTTATGGTTTTCCTTTTTTTTTGATATTAGGGTATTAGGGTTTGAACTCAGGGTAGTAGTTGCCCAGCTTGTTTAATAGGTGATGTTCTACCATTTTTAGCTACATCTACAGCCTGCCTTTTTGTCGATGATTTTAGCGTTAGTGTCTATAGAACTTTTTCCCCTGTGCTGGCCTTAACCCCCTGTTCTTTATATTGATTATTAGCCTTTCATAAATAAAATGCCTATAGTCTTCATAAAGTCTATCCAGGGGGTTTTGTGACAACATATGGTAACCTGAGGTTTTTGGATATCTTTTTTTTTTTTTTGAACTCAGGGCCTGGGCTCTGTCCCTGAGCTGCTTTTTGCGTCAAAGCTGGCACACAACCCCTTGAGCCCCAGCGCAACTTCCAGCTTTTTAAATTTATGTGGTCCTGAGGAATTGAACCCAGGGCTTCATGCATGCTAGGCAAATACTCTACTGTTAAGCCACATTCCTAGCCATCTTTCTTTTTTTTTCTTCACATTTTCATAGGTCTTCATTAAGCATTTTGTCCTTCTGTAGTGGTCTTATATTTTGCTATTGACTAGTTGTGTTGTTTCTAGTGTTTCTGTGAGCAACAGAAACAGCAGTCATCAACTTTGTACCCATTTGAGATGACTATGAAAGTGATCAGTTTCATGACTTTAAAAACACATTGAAAATTTTTTTTAAATTGCAGACTGTGTTAACATACACTGTTCTTTTACAAAATGAGTTTAGTCATTTTACACTAATTTGGTTGTTTCTGTTTCTTTCATTTGGAATATGATCCTCACTTTTTTACTCTTGTAGGTGATGAAGGAGATAACTTCTATGTGATTGATCAAGGAGAGATGGATGTAAGAGATTTAATAATAGCAAAAACTATGTCATTAGTCTTAAAAAGCAATGTATTTGTATTTAGTCCATGTAAGCCTTATCATAGTGTTTGTGGAAGGACTCTTATAGCCCTTGCCTGTCAGAATCTATCGATAGCTTCACCAAGTATTTTTGTGACACCGATGGTTTTTAAAGGTAATTTGTCTAGCTAGGCATGCAGTTGCCAGCTTGTGCTATAGACATAGGATGTGCATGCATGTTGAGAAGACAGTGGAAGGGGCAGTTAGCTAGACCTAGCCATTAGCTACGAACTTAACACAGCTTTCTCTTTCAGTGAGTCCTGTTCACAAATGAAATGGGGATAAGAATAACATTGATCTTGTAGGATTCTTAGGAAGTTTAGTAAAACAGTACTGTCCTTGACACAGAACCCTTCAAATGCACATCATGTATGCAAGCATTTGGCACCTGTTTCCCCTTAGCTATCCCTACAGAGCACTTTCCTCATTGTCAGATAGATAGTTGGGCATTTAATTCATTGTTATGAGTAACTATTTTGTTGTGCTGTGTTCTGCAAACATAGTGTCAACAATTTTTGAAAACATCTTCTAGATTCTGGCTTTTTACAAAGGTTTGTCAATTTGGACATACTTGTAATATGTAAATGAAACCATTTATTTGATGACTTCTTCATTTTAGGTCTACGTCAACAACGAGTGGGCAACTAGTGTTGGGGAAGGAGGGAGCTTTGGAGAACTTGCTCTGATTTATGGAACACCCAGAGCAGCCACTGTCAAAGCCAAGACAAATGTAAAACTGTGGGGCATTGACCGAGACAGCTACCGAAGGATCCTTATGGTAAGACTCATGGTTTTGGGTGTGTGTTTAGCATTTTGGTCTTTGTAACTTGGTGAACTTCATATAGAGTACTTTTGAATGGTTAAGTCCTAGCTAATATATTGACCAGTCTGAATAGCTTTCTTAAATTTTTGCAGTACCCTTCTGGCTGTTTAGGAACATGAAGTCTGATTCAAACTTTTGATTTTTTTTCCAGTTGTGATATATGTATGTATACATCCATATATGCAGTACGTATCGTGTGTGTGTGTGTGTGTGTGTGTGTGTGTGTACTTAGAAATGTTTCTGTATTTCTATACCAAGATCCACAAATGCTTAAGTATCTTATCTAAAATGGCATAATGTATGCATATAACTATTGCGTTTCTTCTATATGCTTTAAATTATCTCTAGATTATTCTTGGTACTTATGCACAGTAAACACTATGTAAATAGTTGTATTATTCAGGAAACAGTGACAAGAAACAAGTCTGTAGCCGTTTTTTTTCCCCTTAAACCTGCAGATTTGCACACATGAAACTTGAAAATAGGTAGGGAAGTGTGTGTGTGTGTGTGTGTGTGTGTGTGTGTATGTGTGTGTGTGTGTATATCACATATACTTCCATATACGTAGGTAGATATGGTTTTTTGTTGGGTGGGGTGGGGCTAAGGTCATTTACCATGTCAACAAAGTTCATTACAAATGGATAAACTTAACAAACTTTGTAGAGAAGACAGCTTGAACATGTTTGGGACTATAGAACATGTATTCTCATATATCCCTTCCTTTGTTTTTTTATTTTTACTTCGCTGTGTGGGGGATTGAAACTGTGGGGCAATATTTGGACCTGGAGTCTAGACAGCTACAGTCTCATACACTGCTTTGGTTAATGTTTTGAGAACTGATCTTTTGCCTGTTTGACATTTCATGATTTGGTGAGGCTCTGAGCCGCCTTTGGCCATACATAGACTCAGCATTCCTTTTAGAACATTGTACAAGCTTTTTTTTTTTTTTTTTTTTTTACTGAGTTGGGTAGGAACTCATCTACAGCATAAAGCAAAATGATTACAAATGAAGAGGTAGTAGCACCAAGTTGATCCTTGTTTGTGTGTGCTGGTACTGGGACTTGAACCCAGGGCTTCCAGCTCTCATGCAGCTTTTTCACCTAGGCTGATGCTCTACCGTGCAAGTCACATCTACAGTTCCATTGGCTTTTTTTTTTTCTTCTTTTTTTTTAGTTTATTTGGAACTTGGTACTTATTGTTCCATAGTGTTGTGTAACAATTGCATGGGGATTTGACTTGTTATTTTTTGTTCATAGGGAAGCACGCTGAGGAAGAGGAAGATGTATGAAGAGTTCCTTAGTAAGGTGTCTATTTTAGGTAAGTTTTGAAAAATTACACAGCGTTATTAAAGAATTTACTATATTTGATAGTATTCTGTCTCAACTGATTTACATTTTGTTTGCTAATAGTAATGAAAGCCACGGGGATTGTTACTTGACAGTATTAAAGGTTCGACAGAATTGAAGGTAGTTTTAAATTGCTTTGAATTTACTAGCATGACAAACCCCTCAATTAGACACAGAGATAAAAAGGCTGAGAGTATCCTTCTCGAGTGACTTCTGTGTCTGTTTTGTCATTGATGGAAAGTATTTCTGGAAAGTGTTTCCAAGAATATGTTTCCTTTGTGGGAAAATTCAGTATCATATGCTGGTAAACTCTGAAAAGACAGATGCTGGACTTGTTCAAATTTAAGAGTAAAGCAGGCTAATTGGACATAGTACAGTGTTGTAATGGAGCCTAGGAAACATTGTTAGAACCTGTTTTTTAGTGCTTTTTATGACAGTCTTTTGCCACTGTTTGATTAAGTGATTTGACTTTTTCCCCTGGTCATTTGCCATTTGAAATACTTATTTGGATTAAGCATCTTGAATATTAGTTTGAACTTGAGAAATAAGTTCTAGCTCCTCTTGCTGGTCTATATAAATAAATTCAGTGGAGGCTTTGAAAGATTAAGTTATTTCTTTGAACCTTTGGGAAAATGTGGATGGTGTACTGTAACTGTTGATAGACATCTACAGGAATATAATGATCACCTTTAAAAAAAATTTTTTGCCCTGGGACTTGAACTCAGGGCCTGGGCACTGTTGTCAGGCTTTTGTGTTCAAGGCTAATGTTTTAATCAGTTTGAGCCACAGTGTCATTTCCAGCTTTGTAGTAGTTACTAGTAGTTACTTGGAGATAGTCTCATGGACCTTCTTGCTCAGGCTGGCTTTGAACTGAGATCCTTCTGAGCAGCTAGGATCACAGGTGTGAGCCACCCATGCCCAGCTAATGAGCTCAATTTTTTTTTTTTTTTTTAGTCCTTTGCTATTGGGTACAGTTGGTGTAAATTAACCTGACTACTCATACTAGAAGTGAGGCTCTAAGTCCTCCTAAGACTAGAAGTAATTGAACACGGATGGAGGTGCTAGTGCTGTGTTTAATCCAAGACATCACTAGCCAGAATGTTGCATGGGTTTGGCTATGCGGCTGAATCTGTATACTTTTGTTTGGATTGGTTGTAGGGTGTGAGCTCAGAGCCTGAACTCTGTCCGGAGCTCCTTTTGCTCAAGGCTTTTGCTTTGAGCCACTCCACTTCTGGTTTTCTGGTGGTTAATTGGAGATAACTCAGGGACTTTCCTGCCTGGGCTAGCTTTGAGCTATAATTCTCTGGTCTCAGCTTCCAGACTAGGATTACAGGTATGAGCTACCAGCCCCTGGCTCTGTATGCGTTTTGTTTTAAAACTTTCAGCAACACCAACAATGTAGCAATTCTCTTGAGTGTTGTTTTTCAGAGTCTCTGGACAAGTGGGAACGCCTGACGGTAGCTGATGCCTTGGAGCCTGTTCAGTTTGAAGATGGACAGAAGATTGTGGTGCAGGGAGAGCCCGGGGATGAGTTCTTCATTATTTTAGAGGTAAAGAATTCTGCATTTGAATTTTTTTTTTGTTTGTTTGAGGTACTGGGGATTGAACCTGGGGCCTTAGGCTTTCAAGGCAAATACTCCAGTACTTGAGCCATGCCCTAGTCCTTTTGCTTTTAGTTTGTTTTTCAGATAGAGCCTCAGGCTCGGAGGAAGCTTTCTAATCTGATGTTGATCTTTGTCTTTCCTACTGAAAAGCTGGGATTACAAGCCTGTGATACTATCCCTGGCTGAATTCCATTCTTTACAACATTATGTACCCTACCAAAGGAGTCTAATTCTCATTTGTCCTTAAGTTTTTAAGAATATTTGACAGTTTTATTTAAAAATTAGCTTTTACTGTGAAATACAGTTGTTGACTTTTCTGCATAGCCACTGTAATTTTAAAATTAAAACAACAAAAAGAGGTTTGACTTAGAATTCTGGCAAGGGCCTCAGACATGAATAACAATATCCTGAGTTACCCCCAACTCTATTACTCTTTAGCATGCAAGCAAAAAAGCAAGAACAAAGAACAACTCCCAACTCGGAGGCATTTGGTGTGACAGATTGTGTTGTACCATCTTTGTTAAAATGTGTTTGGGCTCTTTGGCAAACAAGGATCAAAGGGAATAGTTTAGATTCTAAATGTTACTGTGTTTTATATCTTTATAATCCCTGGAAATGTATAGCAGATAATATTGCCTGCCAGGCAGATCCAAATAGCAGATTCAAAAATTGAATTGCTATGGTGTAGAAGCAGCCAGACAAGTGTAGGTGGATGAGAGTAATATTTTCACAAAATTTAATTCCAAGATAGGCAGTGAGCTAGCGTTGGCCCACTGCCTACAGTTTGCCAGCCTGACTGAATTCTGTTACCATATCTTAACTTCACCTTGCTAGCCAGGGTCACTTGATAAATGGAAATCAAAGCTTATATGCTGACATGTCAGTCATCTAGTATTGTCTGAACTCAGATGAGTTGACATAACCATCAATGAATCTTTTACCCTTTTCTTTTTTGCAAAGTACTTAAGTGACAAGGGTATTTCAAATGGCACTCTGATTAGTTCTTCAGTTTCAGCTTCTTGGTGGTTTTATTGTAGGGGACAGCTGCTGTGCTACAGCGTCGGTCAGAAAACGAAGAGTTTGTTGAAGTGGGACGATTGGGGCCTTCTGATTATTTTGGTACGTTGGAATGCCTCACAATGAAAGCAGTTTTTAAAGTTGGCGCTTAGTGAGACGCTGTCGTCCGTTTCTGTCCTGAGATTTATCTATTTCTTTGTTAGTTTATTTTTTTTTATTTTTTATTTTATTTATTTATTTTTTTGGGTCCGGTGTTAGGGCCTGAACTCTGGGCCTGGATGCTGTCCCTCAGCTCTTCAGCTCAAGGCTAGCGCTCTACCACTTGAGCCACAGCGCCACTTCCGGCTTTTTT